ATGGTGGCAGCAAAAAAAATTAGACGGACATAGTTAAAGTGGATGGCGAGTTACAAAGTAATGGCATGTTATCGGACTTAGACGATGCATCAAGCAGAGGGGTCAAGTTTGCCAGTAAGGCTGGACCACAGAGGACAGCTAAGTAGGGAGTGTAAGCATGGACCCGATGCTTGAGAAGCTGCTAGACTTGGTTGAGTCATGGGGATATTCAGGCCAAGAGCAAGGAGAGGCATCCGATGAGTGGAGGATCGAGGCCATCATTGCTAGCCGTCCAAAGTACAAATGAGGCAAGAAGAAAGGTGTCCAGTACCTTGTGATATGGGAATGCGAACCGCTCTATAGGGCATCATGGTTAATGGACAAAGATCTCCGGTGACGCCAAAGGCGAGGTGCGTGCGTACGTGTCGATGCTTTGTGCCGAGGGCGGCACAAAATTGGGTGGGGGAGAGTGTCATGACCTGCTATATCATAATGCCACGTAGGTGCCATTTGGCATATATTTTTACCATATGGAAAGCTTACATATGAAATAGACAAGCACATGTGGAAAGGTTCTAGAAAAATATGGAGATTTCTCATGGAAGACCTTAGAACTCTATGGAATTACTAGGAAAGTTCTTAAAAGATTCTAGTTATGTAGAAAATTCTAGAGAAAGAATTTACTTGTACATAATAAAGTACTTGTGTAATGGAGTAATTTTTATTAACTCACTAACCCCTAGGAGAGTAGTATATAAAGGAAGATATTTATCACCAAGCAAACAATTCAAGCTCTCTCTAATACAAAGCTTCCTTTAACAATTCTCTTGTATTCTTTTTAACATTCTCTTAGCATCTTGAGTGTAGTAAGACTGAATTGGCATAGCAAGAACGTGAGCAAGTTGTGCAAGATCGTGAGCGAGTTGTCAAGTATTGCACGTGTACTTAGTTAACAACTAAGGACGTGCAGTTGTCTTCGAATGTGTCTTTATTTAGGAAGCAATTTTATCCACTTAAACTACATATTTAAAACAGTTTTATTTGTTCGAATAATTTTTGACTGCTATAGTGAAGTATTGGTATAGAAGATATATATTAAAATATAAGATAAAAATTAATTTCGAAAAAAATTAAGTTCTTATAAGCAATGACTGTTATATAAAAATATTTTTATAAAAATGTGTGATTGCATAGCAAAGTGAACGCAGTTGGTGCATTCTGTAAGGTGGGTAAATAAAGTGAAAGATTAGGTGAGTTGAGGACCCCTTTTCTTCTAAATTTCAGTGCGTCGACTAAAACTACCCTTTGTTATTGTCTCGTTTCATAAAGCAATTAAATTACATGCACCATTAAGGGCTTACTGAAAATATCAAAATTTTATCACGCTTAACTGAAGTCTAATATTTGAGCTTGAGAATAAAGAAACTTTTTGTTTTTAATTGATATCGGCATGAATTCAAATTAATCGGCTTAATAAATTTATATATCAAATAATTAGAAGTAGAATAAAGCAATTAAATAGAAATATGGGGATACTATTACCATCTCAAGGCTATAACATTTTTTTCATGGTCATGTTTGTTGTTTTGTGTTGCAGACAACCAACTAAATTAGCAACTCATGCAAAATAATATAAAGTGTTAGCCTTTTATGCAACAAACTGAAAAATTCTCCTAAAGGCAGAATTATTATAAGTTATAACCTTTTTTCCTCTTGTAACAACAACAAACGGAATAAAATGTGGAACTTTCCAACCAGAAAAAAGAGATAGAAAAAGAGAGGAAAACAAAATATTCTATAAGATAAAGAAGATTATAATTTCATGGTCAAGAATTTACTTTCATTCCCTATCTTTTATCCTTTCAGTACCTTTTCCCCTTTATTTATGGTGGGATATTTTGGGAAGCTAATGCTTATTACAATTTTTTTTTCTTTTTTGTACAGGGTTCTGTTAAACCTAATAGCTAGAGTTAGTGTTCGATTTTTAGGAACTTAAAAGATTAAAACTGTTCAAAATATAATTAAAGAGTTATTCTAAATCTATCTTAAATATAAGATTTCATTTTCTCTAAAAATCACAGAATTGAAACCACATACAAATTGATATATCACAAATTCACATGTTACACATATCTATTCATTTCACATCAAATCAAAACTTGTAGTTATCCATGTTCTGCTGTCGAGTCACTGTTAATAATCAATTTATTTATCAAACTGAGAACTTTCCAATGATTCTACGCCAAACAAAACCGTTTTCTTAATGAGCGCTAAAGGATAAAAGGGATAATGGATAATTAATCTTGAAATTATATTTAAGAAGAATTTATTTCATGTTTGATTTGGATAAAATCGTGATATAACTATTAATCCCACGATTAGTTATTAATCACTAATTTCGAATATACCTTACTTCCTAAAAATCACCGAAAGGACATACCATAAAGGTACCAAAAATTAATCACGGAATAACTTATTAAACAGACCCTAAGACCTAAACCAACAACAGCACATGGGGTAGTAAGTCACTAGAATGGAAAACTATAGCCATACAAATGGACAAATTCAACTCTAGTTTTCAAGATTCAATGAATGATAGCCACCTAATTAAACACACAGTCGTTTAATTGAAACTTCAAAAAGTTTATTGTAGCTTTTGGGACCATACCCTACCTTGGAATTTAATGGGACAAGTGGATCCTAGAGTTTGTAAAACCAAGGTTGATCTCATCTTTCCACTTAGTACTTCTCATTTGTGACAAACTCTGACATCAAAATCTTCATGGTAAAAGAATTTTTAGAACCTTCTAGCTTCTTCATTTCTTTTCCAAAAAATTCCACTTAAAAAACGTTTCTTTCATAATGATAATATCCAGATTAGTTTGCATGCATTTATTATGTCTTATAACACAAGTTTTACCCAATAACTTCATCCACTAAATTTAAGCACACGAAAAAACAAACAAACCAAGGTAATTGATTTCTTGCTAAGTCCTTCATGATAAAATTCGTCACTAAATTGTCAAGAAGGAGAGGAAGTTTGTTACTCTTGAGTATAATGAAATGGGTACTAAAAAGAGGCTTTAGAAATTGAGATAATTGTAGTTGCACTTAATTACTAATTTACACAAAATCCCCAATATCCATTCAAGAACTGTTTCCGATAGACCCTCGGCTCCCTCCCTCCAAGAACTCCCTACCTTGCTCTTGGGGTGACTCGAACTCACAACCTTTTGATTGAAAGTAGATGGTGCTTACCACTAGAACAACTCACTCTTGTCAAAATCAACTAATTAATTACGTGTCAAACCCAATAGATAGTGGTCTGTCCATATTGTAATAAGATCATTATCTTGTTTGGTTATTTGTTTTCTCCTCCAATATAATCAACCACCTCCCCTTAATTTTAGCTAAATCAAGAACCAAGTGCGAAGTGTACGTGTCATTTATGCTGCTTCAGTGAGAAAGGATGTGGATCAATACTAATTGCTCAAGGATGTAATCGAACCGTTAATAAAATTAGGTGCAAGTCATAAAAATTAGAACTCATACAAAAAACTGTGATATTCGTAGATTATTCCTTCTTATTCGTCTAAACTGTAGTACATAATTGGGTACATATACATACAAAAATACTTAGTATCTCATAAAATAATTTTGGGTGTGCTAGATAAAGAGTCACTTTATTGCTTACACCCTCCAAAAATACTGATGCATTTGTGTTAGATCCTTAAAAAATCTACTATTTTTAAAAGAGGGTGCAAGCTTAATAGTGAACGCAAACCACCTTCTTATAGATATGAGATCAATGACTTAAATAAAAGAAAGTATCGACATAAAATCTTAATCCTTAAAATGCATTGCAAAAAGAAATCGAAGACTGAAGATTTTCTGATGCAGTACATGCACTGAATGAAAAAGACATACTAGTATAAATGAACAACCTCTCTATCCTCACAAGGTAAGGGTAAGGTCTGCGCACATACTATCCTTCCAGACTTCACGATATGAAATAATAATAAATATATTATTGTAGTATAAATGAACAATTTATTGAACGGACATACCTTAAAGGGCACCGATCTCCCATGGCAAAAATTTATATGCGCAAAATCGATCTAAGGATAAAAAGAAAGAAGCAAGAAAGGAAGATATACAACTAACAATATTTTTAAGAGTTCGAGCAATATAAACTATCAATATAATCCTTATATATGTGAAAAGAAGAAAAACAAAATCTTGAAGCTGACCTTGCCACGATCTTACGCGATAACAATTGCGTAGGACATCCTAACTAACCAAATAGTGGACCCTAGAAGAAAGCCAAAAGAAAGACTTTTATAATCAGTGCACTTTGGAAATTGCATGACGGTAGAAAACGTGGAATTTTCATGAATTTTGTACATTATCAGCAGCCCTATCTTTTGTATTCTTCACTCACATTGAGGACTCCATACCACTGTACTATCTCTTCTGATTGAAACCCATAACTCCTTATTCTTTATTTTATTTAATTCTCCCATAGGGAGATGCTATTCACCACACACAAAAAATACATGGTGGTGTCGACTACGAGTAAAATCAATTCAAATCTTTGTATTTACCTTTAAAATTTTATTGATTAATGTATATATTATTAATTTAATGCTTGATAATTTAAAATAATTAAAATTTTGAATTAATAAACTTTAAATCCTAGTTCCGATTCTCGATACACAAAAAAATAAAGGGAAATAAATATAAGATAAATATGAGCAGACTATAACATGTCTCTTCAAAAGGATTGACAATTAATTTTACACAAAAAAAGTGGAAGAAAATTTATAAGGTTATTGGAACTATATGAAACACATGAATATTAAGATAACAGCTAAGGACCAACCTACTATTATAGAATTAGAATATTCTTAGCCACTAAACTTTTGGTCTGTGAAATCTGCTGTTTCTCTTCTTCTTATTCTTCATTCTTCATTCTTCTTTTACTAGTAGAATTTGATTCGATTTTCATCAAACTCTGAATTTCACCAAAAAGAAAGCAATCCCAAGAAGAATCCACCGATCAAAAGTGAAAATCCACTAGAAAAGCTCCTTTTTGCACCACCAAAATCATGGTCAACAGGGTACAAATTCCCTGGTGGACCAGTCATGTATATATATTGTGAATTTGGTGTATCGGGAACATAACCACCGCCACCGCCGCCGCCACCGGAAGGAGGAGGAGGGCAGTAGCCACTTGGTGGTTTCTTTGGCGGCGGTGGTGATGGTGGTGGAAGAGCTGGTGGAGGTGGTGGTGGAGATGGTGGAACACAAGGCTTGTTACAAGGACAACCTCCACACTTGTTTTCATCTACCTCATCAAGTTTTCTTGGATTTAATCCATTGGTAATTGGTATAGCAACAAAAAATAAGAAAAAAACCACAACCCTCGACATTTTCAAAAGCTTGCTACTGAAAACTTATGAGTTCTTGATAGAAGGGTGAAGAAATTTCTTCTTCTTTCTTAGAAGAAAGAATGGTTCTTTTATGAGTGTATGTGACAAGAATATTATGTTAGGTATGGTGACTTTGTAGTAGAATAGATCAAGTGAGAAATGAAAGGGAAAGGGAAAGGAAAGTCTTTTGAGAAATGAGAAAGAGTTTGTTACACTTCTTGAGAATGCATGGAAATTGCAATAGAAAGGAATTTAAGGGTTGTTGATTATGAGGTGTCTCTTTTGTGTATGGTGTATTGGCTTAATCTAGAAGGCAATTACAAATGCATGTGGATGGTCCATTTTTTGTCCCCACCATTGGACTCTTTTTCTATTTTTTAATCTTTTTGGAGTTGGTAAGTTTTTAAGGTATATTATACAAATAATCGTTGGATGTTTTATCCAATTTTTAGTTAATATACATAAATTATATATATATATATTTTTTTAATCCGTCAGTTATTTTTAGATTAAGTGCTTGAGTGATCGGCTATTTATGTTAATTTTTCATTTTTTTTAACTTGTTATTTTGTTTGATTAATTATAAATCAACATATTTTGTACATCTAAAAAGAATGGATGCTTTCAATAATTGTATCCTTTTTGGTATTTAATACTCTGGACTAGTATCATGTGTGTGGAAAAGTGGCAATCCAGATCCTAATTATTGAACATGAACAATAAAAATTAGAAGTATTTTGGTTAGTTGAATTTGGTATAATATGGGGACGTGAAGCTTTTAAAGTTTGGATTAAGAAGTCAAAGTCAAGGTTATAATATGCTTTGGTGCATGTGGAACTTTCCTTTTCTCCAGTCCTACTCAAAAGTAGAAAATTCTTGTAATATAAAGGGAATATTACTTAATCTCCTTTTGCTTATTTATAAAAAGATTGGAATCAGGAAATCAATCATAAATATTCTTATATTTTTATAAAATGAAAAAGAGGGGGGTGGGGGGGTGAGGGGGGGTGACATAGTAAAGACTGCTTTTATATATGTTAGCTAGAAAGTATTCGGACAACTTAAGGTAAACAAGGAAAAGAAAAAAGGAAAAAAAGATAAAACGCAAGTTTACCATCTATATTGGGCATTTATTTTAATTTACCTTTTGTTTATCTCTTCCGAATTATGTTACGAAAGGGGAAACGTGTTGCTTTTGTACACAACTTTGAAAACGATATAGTCAACTAGAATACACCAGAGCCCAACTAAGAAAAAAGTGAGATGAATTAGATGTTTGGGCTAAATTAGGTGGCAGCCTACTGAAAAAAAATAAAAAATAGTCATATTTATAAGTGATAATCGAAAAATAGTCACAATTTCAAAAGTAATCGAAATTTAGCCACTTTTCATGTAAAGATAAATCTGAAGAAAAATACTGTTCAAAATCCGAAAAATATTCCAGCATAATATACTGAAGTTTCAATTTTTTATATGTGAACTTCCAGCATATCCAGTATATTATGATGGAGTTCCGGTATAAATATGGTGAAAGTTCATACACAAGTGCTCTAATCTCCAGTATATTATGCTGGATCTTTCCGTGTGCTGGAATTTCAGCATAATATGCTGAAAGTTCATACACAGGTACATCAATCTCTAGTATATTATGCTGGAACTTTTCGTGATAAAATAATGATTATTTTTCAATAACTTTGCAATGACTAGCCCGTGCTATTTTCACCTTAAAATTGGGCTATTAGAATGGGCCTAACTATGGGCTTGATATTCCTGTTAGTGTTGGACCAGAAAAATACTTCTGGGCCTGTTCTGTTCACAGCCTAATAACAGGCCCATCACACGAAGAATAGTCATTATGAACTTAAGATAGACACACAGAAAAACACTACACAAATCAAAATATATCACTTATAAGTTTCACCAAAATCTCATCCAAAGTAACACTACAGATAGTACATCTCAAAAACATCAAGTATCTACAAACTATGCCCAATTCTGGTTTCTATATCTACAAACTATGCCCAATTCAATCCGACAGGATCCTGTGTGTTAGTGTTGATATGATCGCGTCTAACCACATATGATTCTCTAATGCTTGTGATCGCGTCTAACCACATATGATTCTCTAATGCTTGTGGTCCTCATCATTCAAAGCCAAAATTCTCCAATCTCCTCTGCACATTGCTTCACTAAAGTGATACTAACAACATCTTAAGATGCAAAAATATTCGCGTGTGTTTCTCATCGCTGAAAATTATCTTGAAATCGCTTTATCTACAGAAACGATTAGCTCCATGCATCTCCACGCTTGAGAAATCGAGGAAGAGATTTCTGTCTGTAAAATTTGTATCCAACTGAGCTGTCCTTGAAGTTTTGGAGTGATCATAAGCCAAAGGACTGCAAAACCATTGCGAGGACTTGAAATCTTGTTGTTGAGAGAAGTTAAACCAATTAGTAGTCTCAAATCCTTGTGCCATCTCCCAAAACATGCCCTGTAGCTCCTCCATACTGTAACTTTTCTCCTGTTTTCAAGAATTTGCAATGAAAAAGAAACATCATTTACCAAAAAGAGAACAAAGTGGAAGCCGCTCCAATAGAATAATTAGTCGAAAAATATCTATAGTATGAAAATATCTCACACTACTACTGTAGTTTATCCTGTTATAGCATGTTATAACCACGTCGCAGGCTTTACCTTTCAGGTTACTAACTGCTACATATATGGAAAATTACTTGTAGTTGTCTTTTAAATGACATGTTAAATCATCAGACAAATGCAATGCAATTCATTTTAATTAAGCACAAGCAACATCAGAGATAACAACACAATTACTTATTTTAAGTATGATCATCATCCAAATGCAACGGACATCCCGCGTTCATATGGTGTGTGATGTAGACAGCATAACCTAATGCAAGATCACAGAGAGACTACTTGGCAAAGGAAATCCATAATATCTTAAGTTCTCAACTACATATATGCTTCAATGAGCTAGAGCAAGTTTATCTTGAATAACATTTTCAATTAATACATTCAAACACAGTTTTAAGTTACCAATTGAACAGAGAAACCATACATTTACTATCACAATAAAATCACAAACAAGAAACTAAAGCAGATGAAGACAATACCTCTTTCCTTGCATCATCCATTAGAGATACCATTTCTTGTAGAAAATCAGCAAATCCCTACCAAAAAAAAAACAGAAATATATCAGATGAGCTTCCCATTTTCTGCATCATCTAAAATCAAGAAACAGAATAAAATATAGCATACCTCATCCTCATCTTCCTCAGGGTCATACAATCCTGCATCATACATCATTCTCTTCTTCTGATCCGACAACACTATTGCCAAATAAAAAAATAAAATAAAAATTTAGAAATGGCAATCAATTTTTTTTTTTTTTTAAAAAAAGACATTCCCATTTCCATTCCGAATAATGAAATTAAAGATATAAAGTTTACCTGAATAGGCTTCTTGGATTTGCTGAAACTTCCTCTTAGCTTCACCTAATAATGAAGGCGTCCTCGTCCATTTATCAGGGTGCCATTGCTGCAACCAAATTAAAATCCATTTTCCATTAGGAATTAAATCTAAACACAACAAAACTACTCTCATAATTAAGAAAGATGATTTTTATTATTATTATTATCATACCATAGCTAGCTTTCTATAAGCACGTTTAATTTCTTCATCAGAAGAGTTTGCATTAACACCAAGAACACTATAATATGATGGCCACCTTTCTTTACAAAACTCCATTTCCCTCACCAAATTCCACCAAATAACAACAATATAGGTACACACTATTTTTCATGCAAATTAAAAAAATAAAGTAAATCTCAAATCAAGAAACTGTGACATGAAACAAAATATTTATAAAGGTAAATTTCAGAGGCGGTTGTGAAATGGGACCAACGGAACTTTAATAAAAACGAATCTGCAGCCACAGGACAGAAATATCTACTCTATGTGTGAGGTGAAAAAAGAAGTTAAAAGCTTCAAGAAGATTCGGGAAGGAAATTATTCGGTTTAAATGCAACGTGTCTGATAAATATGAGCAGATATTTTCAATTTTCAATTTGTGCGAGTCTTGTGTTTGGTTGAGATATTTTGTTTGGAAAATTCTGGTATTTTGGAATGACGTGTAGAAAGTTGAAAGAGGGTGATGACAGTCAGATTCTTGGCCCCATAACTTCACCTTTGTCTATGCCACGTTTATAGAGTTTGCTCTGTTTAGCTAAACTTTTGTGAAGCTGTATATCTTTTGTTAAAAAAAAAAAGAAAAAGAAAAAAGAAAGGCAATTTTAGAAAGTAAGAAGAGTTTGGCTAAGTTTTCGGGCGGAATACGACCCCAACATGGTAACTTTTGTTTAGTTCTATCTTAAATTACGAGACGAAGCATGCTCGTGCTAAGCACGGGCCCGACAAAATGGTACTGACCTATTAAAAAAATAAAAAGATACTGCGAAACTGTATGTAGTTATTTACATCAGAGACGAACAAAATTTTATATCCCAATTGACAAGTGTATAGTGTATTGCAAGAACTTTGCACTACTGGTAAATATTTTCTCCTTTGTATTTGCCCTCAAGAATCAAAAGAAGTTACATTATAAAACTAAAACAAAGGAGAAAGTTTCACTAAATAGATATATACAATTACTTCAGTAGACATTTTCTAGTTTCTTTCAAGCGCAGCAATTGCCCCAAAAGCTTCACTTGCTTGGAGGAATCTGGAGGTTCACGCAGCACAACCGACAAGCAGAACCAAAGACGCGTGGGAGTGATATCTGGAAGCAGATGTGTAAAGCATATCGCTTTTCGCGTATCAATTTCCTTAAAGAAGCATATTGGGTTCTCTCAATCTTCAATTCTACCTTAACAAGGAGAATTAAATTAGAATTTATCGAGATAACTAACATAGAAATTATGTAAGTCCAGATCAAATCTGAGTAAAAATGCTGATAAATTCTATAGATTAGTAAGCCAAAGTTGAAGAGTCAACCATTAATCTTCCTGTAATGTAAAAGAAGCTGCAGATTTATCTAAGATGTTGCTCCGCATGTTATAATTCTAAGTATGAGCTTGTACCAATTACCCTACCATAGCACCTACTAAAAATTGAACTTTCATTTTCCTTTAGTACAATAAAAGTGAGAGAGCTACTTCTATTTGTTTTCAGAAAGAAACTAACAAAAATCTTAAGTTTCATTTCACAAATTGAAACCAAAAATTTCTTAAACATTGAGAAGGTACAAGATTTACCTGAACACCAATGGTAAAACTTCAAATTCTAACACATAGATTTCCCGGAAGAAGTATATGTATTGATCCAATCCTTGCAATTATTAAAAACAAAATAAAGTAGTCCTAAATGTAGCACCTAAAAGTAGCAGCCTAGACAACTAATCATCAAATATGAGAATGAGAAGCAATTTTGTTTCTTTGCTGTGTGTTGTTGAGGTCTGGTCATTCCCTGAATGACAAGAGCTAGTGTATCAGCGGAAACTCATGATGCATCAACTTTGGGCAAGAGAAGTAAGAGTTGGCATGTTAATATAAATGACAAACTTAAGCTTGTATCGGCTGCATTCACTGCGCAAAGTGAGTCTATCCTACTTCTTTTTTAAGTGTCCTATGAAAAATCTAATACTGTTTGTAGAACATGATCGATTAATGCATCCCCAACATTACTGCTATCTCAGAAACTGTAAGTAGTACCAGAAATGACCACAATGAGGCCTAGATCAAGATGTATGCAAGTAGAATCCGATGCTGCACCAAAAAGATTGTACCATTTCTTCCAATAATGTCCTCCTAAACTAAGGCTAAATCAGAATTTGAGCAGTTAGAAATTTTTAAAATTTTGGAAGAGAATTGAGGTCCTACTAGTAGAATAAGTCGTGTCATCTTCAACTGACACTAACACAAATTCTAGGCATATAAATGGGAAAGTCAATATTAGGAAAGGAGAAAGAGGCTAAAACAACGTTTTTGAGATCTTAAGTGGAAAAAAATCTTAAATTAATAGATTGTAGTTCCAAAATAAGACATGCTTTTATTAGTAGTTTAGAGAGGCTTGTTTCCTGTTCCACATAACTAATATTTCTATTATATAGAAAAGCCAAGTGTGGTCGACCAATGACATAACTGTAACTTTAGCTCAAGGGTAAAATTATAATTTCAATTAACAACTCAACACAATTCTAAATGCAGATTCTTTCAAGCCACAACAAGAAATGTTGGTTTTCTCGGGTTCTTAATTTGTCCTCTCAAATAATATTTTTTTTCATTCTCTTCATCTTCTCAGTTGGGTGTTGCAACTTTCAGGTCTGTTCCTCTCTAAATTTTTGCCCAAATCTTGTTCTTTTTTTATTATTATTAATTTCTATTAGGGCTTTATTTTCTTATCTGATTTATTTTTTGTAATTAGAGAGTTGGTATGAGGTATACGAGTTTAGGGCAAAACTTTGAGTTATTTGCCAGCGATAATGGTGGTCTTTTACCATGTATGTGCCTGCTCTTAAAGGTTGAATCTCTCGGAACAAGCATTATGATTGATTATAGAGAGGTAATATATTTTTTAGAGTATTTTTCATTTTTAGTTCACATGCTTCTTCACTGTCTTTGTCATGAGCGCTTTATGGGAAATAATTGGGGTTGTTTTGCTCTAATTTTCTCAATATGATCATATATGTGACACAGTGTACAAATTCGAGAAAGTTAAAATTGTATTGATCCTATATTTTCACTCAATTCTTAGGGATAAAATTATACATGTTGATTTTGTGCAGAGATGAGATCTCATGGTCAGGGATATTATCTTTTTTTTTCTTTGTATATTTTTTTCACGCTTCTGCTTATTCAGGGGATGCGCGTGTCTTGCTCCCTTTTTTTATTTTTTCTTCAGGAAACCTAGGGATAAAAATTAATTAGAAAATTATTGAATTTTGGTTCCAATTTTCTTTTACCGAATTCCGATGGATTAGCTTTGTAGTGAAGATCATGTCGTTGCTTTCTAAATATTGTTCTAAATACATTCTTTTAGAATAACACACTTTATTAATAGAATTAGATCATCGATCACTGATCCACGGGAGAATTTCGATGATCTAATGGTTTTCAATTAATGAATACGTGTTTTAAAATTTATAGACAATTACTAAACTAAACGATATCTTCTGGTTTCCTTTTTGGTTTCCAGCGATGGAACATGTGTTGGGTTAACTAATGTATCTTTGGTTATGTATAAGACAACATTGTACATACTAGGAAGATCCACTTGACTAATTATGTGGAGTTTTGAAAGATATTCTGCAATCTATTATCTATATAATCCTATGTTGATTTGCATTGTATTTTATTTCTCTTAGTGGTGGAAGAATTTAAGATATAGTAAATAGAGTATTTTTTATTGTAATTTGAATTAGTCACTTATTTAACTAATTTCTTATAAATATGTTAAATTTAACAGAGCATTGCTAGCCGAATGATGTGATTTATCCCTTGATAGAGAAATATGCTCACATCAGGTAATTGCTTCTCCATATTTTTTCAGTAAGATCATATGATTGACAGCGAATAAACTTAGCTGAATATTAAAATCTTTGTATAAAAATGAATAATTCTAGATAAAGAACTTTTCCTTTTACTGCTCTTATAATGCCTATTAAATTATAAAAGTTTTATTTGGCTGAAAATTCACTTCCTTTGAAAATTAATAGTTCTACTATTTTACTCTATTATGTCTTTTACAAGACTAATGACTACTGAAAACAGAAAAAAGAATTCGAATTGTGTTAAATGTGTTGAACTTAAAAACACATCCTCTCTGATCGTCATTATTCAACTGCCTTATTTTAGAGACAAGTACAAAAATAATCATTTGATATTTTTCTCCTTTCGTATTCTTTTCTATTTCTCCCATTGCAGAAACTTTAAAGATGCTTAAGTATCCATTTGAGGAAAAGGAAATGAGTGGTGACACAAATAGCCTCTTAATATTAACAATAAATCTCCATAATGAACTTTATAAAACTTCTACTATGTAAAATTTCAATAATTAAATATTTTTAATGGACTCACAAGTTCATGCGAGAAGTGTTCATTTTTGGAGAGAAATTTTTGTCACCATTTTTTACTTATTGAGACTGCTCTTTGATTCTTTGAAGCAAAAGTCAAGCTTCACTTTTATTTGTAATTTCTCCTCCCACCCGCCAAAAGAAGAAAATTAGAAAGATGCCAATGGGCCTTTTGATAATGATCTCCTTTTCTTTTTTACTAATAATCAGTCAAGTATATTATATTGCTATATTTGATTGATCTTAACTTTTTTGGCCAATTTTAAAGCTCTTTAGATATTCGTCTATCAATGGCAATTAAACTTGTCCATTGCTTAGTTTGAAATAGTTCTATGAACTATATTCACTACTCTGTACTTCACTGTGAATGGAGCATTCACTTTCATTCCAAGTGATGAAGGTTATAACATAATTCAGGCCAGGCTCTTTGTCTTGATTAGATTGGTCACCTTTGTTTTGTTATCAATTTACTCCAATTTGCTAAAGAATAAAAAATTATACCCAAATGTTAATCTGGTTTATAGCTCATAAGCTCTTCATCAAGAATATGGTTGTTCATGTATTATTATCATTTTAACATATGATTGGCGTGGATGTCCGTTTTAGGAACATCAATGTTGGTATTATTACCTATATATTCATGTCGTGAAATAGAGTTCCATGTAGCTAGATATTGAATCAACACATGCTATCTTTTCCTATTCTTTCTTATTGTTCTTCACCTAACAGTTTTTCATATAATTTTCTTGGAATATACTTTATGTTTGTATTTCATGTATATGTTTTATCTGAAAGTACAAATGGTAGATTGATTTACCATCTTTACATATTTGGTAGAGACTAATTCACTTGGCCACTTAGTTAGTGCTTGATAGTTTGGTTTGTTCTACTTTTAGTTCAATACATGAAACACTCGAGGATGATAAGATGTGTATTTGTAAATGGAATGTGCAATTATATTCATATATATTCTATCTTTTAACATATATAATGTACTATGAGCGTGTTGCTGTGTGACTACTTTTGACGTTTTTCTTTTTTGGCAGGTTAAACTACCCAGCAGAACTAAGAGCAAAATTCACTTGCCATGTTACAGATGACTAAAGCCTCTCCTCCAACACTTAAATTGGTAATGGTAATGAACTATATATCTTGATACCTCTTTTAATTCATTCGATCTCTCAACAGACTGCTCCCTATATATTTATGTTTATCTTTCTTGAAACAGCCAGTGTTGAGTGTGCCTATATTGTGTTTAGTTTTATTTATTTCATTATAAGTTGTAGTTATCCATATACTTCAATTGATTCTAACATGCCAGTAGAAAGAGTTCTTTTATAATGTATGTTGTCTTTATTTTTCCTTTTTTGCAAGCTATCTATTTAATTATTAATTTCAAATTAGTTTTATTTCAATCAAAACCTTGATGTGTTATGTTGTAATGATGTATTTTTTTATGATTACATTTGTGCATGTCCAGTGTCTTGATTATAAGAAGTTTAATTTATTTAGGGGCTAAATTTTATCTCTATCATACCATTTCGCTGATGGATGATTAATGCATTACTTCTTTGTCAGTTTTTCTTAAGTAATGGACTTTAAATTAAACGGTTAATAAAGAAGTTATTACTTTGCAGGAGGTTTCTGGTATTTTTATCGTACTATAGATTTTTAAAAATCTCCTAAAGTTATGACATTCTTACCCTGATCAACCAGTTCAAGCAAGGCATTTATAAAGACCAAGTAACAATCAAAGCATAGAATTTGGACAAAGATGTATGAGGGAGTTGAATCACCTATTTATATGTTCTTATCTATGGTATCTTAGTCATGCAGTTATTGTAGCTACTACTAGCAGAAAATGTTTCAGCAACCAAGTCATAAACAAGTTAGTGCCTTTTGACTGTCATTTTGTATGGTTAGTAGGTAGTCTTTTATATTTGTTACTATTTACTAAAGATGTAACTTGTGTTTTTGTGTTTTTGAAATCATGGTTGTTCTAAGGTGTGTGTTCCTATTTAAGGTTTAAATAATAGATTCTCTAAAGGTTAGAAACAATCCTTAAACCATATCAGCATTCTAAATGTTGGGCCCATGCTATGTACGGGCAAGGCTCATCTAGTTGAGGGAAATATACTCTATACAAATGCTCCAGTATTAAAACTTATCTTAGTAATTAAGACAAATTCTTAGCTTAATCAAGTTAAAGTGCACATCTAGGAAGAAAAAATCATACTCTGCAATTTTCTAGCACATGAGAGTTCTTTGAGGGAGTCACCTATTTATCATACCTGAAATTATTTCACTTAAATCCTTTTTACTTTTATGAGGCAAATGGAGTAGAACAACATTGAAACATGATTAATAAGAAAGTGCAATACTTGCTCTCTTTTTTTTTTTTTTTTTTACTTTTATGAGGCAAATAGAGTAAAATGAGATACTTATATTAAAATGCAGCACGAAGTTATCCATACAGCAGTCATGAAAGTTAAGATAAGCAAACAAAGTAAAATGAGATACTTGTATTAAAATGCAACACGAAGTTATCCATACATCAGTCATGAAAGTTAAGATAACCGATACATAATATGTTAATAATACATTCTTGCTATTCACAGAAGTAAGCAAAGGGTGGAAAGATAACCAAATGGACATCTCAGTTCAAGATGCATATCTACATTTTGCCTCTAGGTAAGCCAGAATTATCTCCACTCTAATAGAGAAGGTAAAACTTGAAGCAAAAACACTAATGCAAATATAGAGTAATGAAACTATAGTAATCAAAGTATGGATTTAAGATGAAGACCATGAAGCTAATAGCTATTTCAGTGCTATCAGCAGTAGTCAATGTTTGAGATATTTTTGTCCCTTTTATTTAGCTTCTATAGACATTTATTTTAATTATATATTTTTCTATAAGTTAGGTTCTACAATTGTTATTCACGACATGTCACCAAATTCTCACAAATCTCAAATCAATGTTCAATCACTAAACAACTACTACTAAATATTAAGATCATTTTAGATGTACATATATTAATGAATTATTAATGATCTTTTATGTGCTTGCACATATATTTCTCTTTGACACGTGAATTCTTCATTTTTTTGGGCTTTTTTAGATTGAAAGATCCATCTCAGATACAAAATTTAGTTAACAAAGAAGATCTTCAATTAGTTCTGATCCACAAAATATAAAGCAAATTAAATAGAAGGGTATTGCATAGAGTTCAAAACAAGCAAATATAACATTTGTTTCCCTGAAAATTCCATTCATCCTTCAGCCCTGAAGTCCCTTGAACTGCAGCAATTTCTCAATCAAAGAGAAGACTTGTTTGGGGATTGAGATATAACTGTTATTGTTCTCACTAAAGTGGGAAAATGGACCATGATCAATGAAAGAGTTGTAGAGCTTCAAGTGGTTGCTAGGACAAATGTATAATCAATACTCCTGAAAGCAGGTTCAGCTCCAGTTATTTAATTGTTTAACCAACGGCGCACAATGCTATACCGAGATGAGCATATATAATGATTGGCAAACAATTTCAGAATATGCACTGAAAAAATATCGGTCTTGCAAAATGTACACGGCAATCATTTTTTATTCCTTCGCGCAACGAAACTTGAAAGAAAAATGCTTTCTCTTGTTGCTCAATACAATTGATCTGGAGTTACTGATAATAAATAAAGAGAGATGCTCTTATTTTTATTTAGAAAAATAAAGCAAACTAATAGAACTCCTAATCCTTCAATTCATTAGGGAAAAACTTATAGGAAATCAAATTCAACAATCACAACCACAAATTAGAAAATGGACTCTATGGTAAAATCACAAATGTAAAATCCTAAGTCAAAATCATAAAACTCATAGAAGCACATATTCCCAAAGAAGAAAAACAAAAAGGAACCTGCATTCGTAAATGAGGCAAAATGACAAATACGCACGAAATATGCATCACAAACAAGCGATAGTTAGAGTTCCTTTTCGTTCCGTCACTCTATAGATATAGAGGCACACAAATTTTACTCATTCTCAAATTTCAACTATGCATAGTTTTTGCTATACGTGCAATAGAAATTGTCAATCTGCAGGAGGTCTAAAGGCACACAACAGATGTCTGCAAAGAGATTGTAAAATCAACTGTGGATTTTGCCATACAAAATTCAAAACAAAAGTTCTACTCCAAGAGCACAAAAAGAAATATCAACATGTATGTCGATATTATTTTTTTGCTTTTGCTTTGAATTTAAAATTGCAGAATTCGTAGTTCAATATGCAGTCTTTGTGTAGACGTTTAATGTGAGATTTCAATCCTTCTAAACTATGCCAGTTTCGATTACAAGTAAAGCAGTAAGTGGGCATACTAAAATTGAGAATGAAATTATTGTTAGTGAAATTTATGTGCATGGTATATATTAATAGTGGTGGAGTGACGTGAACCGAAAAGTTCAAATTCACCGCCTTTTTTTTCATGTCATAAGAGAAAAGTGAGCCTAGTAAAATTCGTTCATTTTGCTTTTTTCTGTTTGATTTCTTTATCAATAAGATACACTAAATTCAAACTATTAGCTTGATAAAATTAGTGTCTTAACCCAAACTTTAATATAAGTGGTAGAATTTATACAATAAGATTTGTACATATTTTATTTGAACTAATTTTTAACGATGTTGTTTGAGCCATCTTAAACACATCTCTGTCATTCACAAAAACTTATATAATGTTTTAAGAAATTTCAAGGGTTACGTAATATTTTTTTAAATTGCCATCACATAGTAATTTTAATTTTTACCACTAAATATGATATCAAAAATATTATCATACGTTTTGAATAGTTAAAATCTTCTTTTTAAGTAAAAATATATGTAACGACGATTTGGTGTGGTTGAATCATTACCTTATCTTTTTCTCTCATCTTGCCCTTCATTATTATTAAATAATTTTAGTTTATCCTTTACCATACCTTTTTATATAATAATTTCACCTTGTATCATAATTTTTCTTTATAATATTACAAGTTTATTCTTCATATTGTCAGTGCGTTATATCATGAAATGACGGCAAACGATACATTATATCCAAACATTGTATACTTCAATGATACATTACAATACAATATAATACAATACAATACAATACAATACAATACAATATAATATGATATGATACATTATGAAATGATACGTCACAACCAGAAGTTGTTAGCGTCCTTACGCCAGCTTTGTCTAGGACTTTCAGTATCAATTGCTTTACCCCCCAAGTAGAAAACTAGGGTCTTGTTTTAGAATGAAATATCATTATCAATATTTTTATTTAATTTGTTCTCTTTTAGTTTTTTTTTCCTTCCTTTTTTGCTTGGCTCTAAATAAGCACATTTTTTAAAAAATAATAAGGAAATTTACCCAAACTGTTAGTCTATAAACTTTTCCAATCAAAAATAGTTCAAAACAAAATATCTACCAAAAAAGGCCCAAATGTTATTTTAAGCCCAAATAATTTCAATTAATATCAGTCTTTTTTGTATTTGTTATTTTTGTTTTACAGACTTTAAAAAGGGACTGTTCTCTCTATTCTCTAAGTTTCTCTCTCTCTCTCTCTCTCTCTCTCTCTCTCTCTCTCTCTGCATTTTTTTGCTAAATTGAACCAAAATTGTTGAAATTGACGATAAAACAAGACACATTTGCATGATTTTTGTCTGATTCCATGTAATTTGTACTAGAAAATCTCTTATTTTGTATATTTTTTCCGGATTGCATGTGTTTTTGTAGAAGTGATGTTGATTTTTTAGGCTTTTGTGACTGAATTGTTTAGTTAGAGTTCATTGTAGGTAGCTGTTATAGATAATTTTGTAGTTTTGGTTGAGTTATGTATCAATTTCTTCACAAAATTCTGTAACCGTTTGTTCATATGATTATTTTGTTTTTTAAAATTATCTCATTCAATCTAGTTTCAATTGTGAACAGAGCAATGTGAGAATACAAACTTGTTTGATGAGTTTATCTCCTTATTCAAAGCCGAAGCAACATGAGAAGAGAAAGTAAGTCGATGAGTCTCCTCATTTAACCCCGATTTTAGTTGAGAAATCGATTCAGGGACGAATTATGCAAAGACAAAATCGTTCCGACAGTGTTAAAGTGTTAGAATCTCGAAAGGATGTTGTTGGACAATCTGAGAAAAAGAAGAGCAAAAGAATTAGAGTGGATGATGTTGAAGGTAAGAGAAAATGTGTCGTGGAGGACGAAGTGAATTTGGGTGTCAAACCAAAAAAGAGTAAGGTTCAG